CATCAGTAAGTGCTTCAAGTCCTCTTCATTTTCAGCAAGCAATGTTGTCTTGTGTATATTGCAGATTGTTAATGAGACTTTCTGCAAGCCTGATGCCATGTCCTTCTTCAAATAGTCCTTCTGATTCTCAGGTTATTTACTCAGCATACAGATTAAATAAGCATGGTGAAAGAATGCATCCCTGATGCAGAACTTTTCTAATTTTCAACCACTCAGTATCCTCTTCTTTTGTTTAAACAACTACCTTTTGGTCAGTGTACAGGTTTCTCATGAAGTTTTCTGGCATTTCCGTTCTTTACAATATTATCAACAGTTTCACACAGTTGAATGCCTTTCCATAGTCAATAAAGCACAAGTAAACATCTTTCTGGTATTCTCTACTTTGAGTCAAGATCCATATGATACCAACAGTGATAGCCCTCATCCCATGTCATCTTCTGAGTCCAGCTTGAATTTCTGGTAGATTACTGTTGGTATACTGCTACAACCTTTTTTTTTTTTTTTTTTCTGATGTAATTCAGAAAAATTTTACTTGCATATCTTAATAATATTATTTGATCTTAATAATATTATTTGATAATATCATTCTGTAGGGTTACCTTTCTTTGAAATAGGTATAAATATGGATCTCTTCCAGTAGGCTGATCCTGTAGTCTTATAAATTTCTTGACAAAGACTAATGAGTACTTCCAGAAACATTCCTGTTTGTATACCATCAATTCTTGTAGCCTTGTTTTCCACTAATGTATTCAGTGCAACTTGGACTTCTTTTTTGGATACCATCAGATTTTGATCATATGCTACCTTTTAAAATGGCAGAACATTGACCAATTCTTTATGGTACAGATAGTCTACGTATGCCTTCCATCATCTTTTGATGTTTTCTGCTTTGTTTAATACTTTACTCATAGAAATCTACAACATTGCAAGTTGAAGCTTTTTTCTTCTTCTTCTTCTTCAAGTTCTCTCAACATGAGAACTTCTGAGTGTGTTCTTCCTTTTGGGTTTCTAACTTCAGCTCTTTGCACATTTCATTGTAGTACTTTATTTTGATTTCTCGGTTTGCCCTTAGAAACTTTCTGTTCATCTCTTTTACTTCATCATTTCTGTCATTGTTTTAGGCACTCTATGTTCAAGAACAAGCTTCAGAATTTTTCTGACATCCGCTTTGTGATCTTGTTGCTAAGTGCTGTTGAGATGGTTCTGACTTACAGAGACCTTGTACAGGGAGCAGAAAATGGGTTTGAATCGGAACCTACTCCACGGCACATAACAACAACAACAACAATTAATAAATGTTAGGTTGGGGTAAACTGAAAAGATTTAATTTTCTAAATGACATAGTTTTATCAAATTTTTATTAATAACTGACAGTTTTATCTCTTTTTTATTTATCATTTATAGACTTTTACATTTAGTTATTAAATATTTCAACATACAGAAGTGCATGAAGCAAACATTTAGCCATATTTGCTTCAGTTTCTTGTTTTGTAAAAGAAATAAAATGTCACAGATCGACCAAAATCTCTTCGTCTCCCCATTCTGACATGAGTGAACTTGATTCCCTTTAAGTTTGTAGGGGCAGCTGAGAATAGCAGGTTGCCTGTAGACAGTCTGACTCCTGAAGAGAGAGGCAGGAAGGTATTAAATAAAACATGCTCAGCATCTTCTCCCAAACTCACCAGTAAGACATATAGCTGTACCACTTTTGCTTATTGTGAAGAAATTTTGCCAGAAGAGACTAGAAGTGTAATTCTAAATTTAGGTCCCTTCAGTTGGGGGAAAAAAAAAAAAGCCAGAGAAAAATAGTCCCCAATCAATGAATACATATCCTTTTACAACTAATGTTTAATCTATTCAATTTTGTCTTTTTGAGATGTCTTCATTAATAAGTCATATAAATAATTGATTAATTTATTTTCGCTATTGTGTGGCACTGTGGGATAACACCACACTGGACCACAAAGTCGGTTTGAACTACAAGGTTGGTGGTTCAAACTCACCAGTCGCTCCTTGGAAACCCTATACTGGGTCGCTATGAGTTGGAACTAATGCAACGACACTTAACAACAAGATCAGAGTGGATGTCAGAAGAAATTCTGAAACTTGTTCTTGAATGTAGAGTAGCTAAAGCAAATGAAAGAATTGATGAAGTGAAAGAGATGAACAGAAAATTTCTAAGAACAGATTGAGAAGACAAAATAAAGTATTACAATGAAATGTGCCAACGTGGCACTTAACAACAACATTACTAAAGTAGTGGAATCCTGGTGCAGCACTGTAGGATAAGTACTAACATGCTAACCAAAAGGTCTGTGTTTCAAACCCATCAGCCAGCCATTTCTCAGAAACTCTATATAGGGTTGTTATGATTCAGCGTTTAACAACAACACAGGTGGCAGTATATGAAGGCAGTTGTGATTCAGTGGTAGAACTATATCTTCCACGTGGTGCACCTCATGCACAATGACCACCCATCTGCCAGTGGAAGCTTGCCTGTTGCTGGGATGCTGCACAGGTTTCAGCTAGCTTCCACATGGTAAAAACTAGGAAGAATGGCCTAGTGATCTACCTTATGAAAACCAGCCATTGAAAACCCTAGAGCTAACAGTGACTCCACCTGCAGTGCATCATGTAGATGGTTAAGAACCAGGCAGTGTTTTATTTAGGAAGACATGAGGACAACATGAGCTTTACTGGCCTGATGGCAGCAAATGGCAAGCAATGTAGTCATATACTTCTAAGCAGCTTGGGAAGAGGGAGAGGGATTGCTGACCACAGCATTGCAGGATAATGCACCGGACTGCAAGGTCAGTTTGAGGTATGAAGTCAGTGGTTCAAATTCTTCAGTCGCTCCTTGGAAACCCTATACAGGGTCACTGAGAGTAGGAACTGTCTCAACAGCACTTAACAACAAAAATAATAGTATGAATGCAAATAGAAGTAGAATATAATGGAAATTTTCCATGAACAATTTGAGTCTCCCTAGTATGAGTCCAGGTGTGGCACTGTGGGATAAAGCACTGAACTACAAGATCAGTTTGAACCATAAGGTTGGCAGTTCATACTTATCAACCACTCCTTGGAAACGCTATATAGGGTCATGATAAGTTGGAGCTGACTTAATGGCACTTAACAGCAACAACAACAGTATTCCTATCAAGGAATCCTGGTGTGGCACTGTAAGATAAGCACTGCACTGCTAACCAAAAGGCCAGCAATTCAAACTCATCAGTCTCTTCTTGGAAATCCAATATATAGTTGTTGTGAGTCAGAACTGACTCGATGGCACTTAACAGCAACAACATTCCCATCACGGCCTGTTTCAGACCACTGACCTTGAACTGGCTTGTACAATTCCTAAGTATTTGACAGCTGACTCTGACCAGCCAGTATGGGTCACATCCAGAGCATCATTACATGTGTACACAATAAGTATTCTGATATATGAATAAGCCAGATTTTATGTTTAGTTTTTCATTATTACAAGAAATGTTTTGATAAATATTTCATACAGATGTCTCTAGACTGCATACTTGAAAGTAGTTTCCCAATTCATAGGATACTCCCCTTTTCAGTTTTACTAGTAATATTATCTGAATTGGTTTTACTAGTTCCACCAATAGTGTATGAAAGTTTCTACAAAACCTGATCTTCTCAGACTTAGTAATTACTAGAAGTATGATGAAGGATGTGATATAAAAACTGAATTAATTTTATTTAATACATTTATATAGTCCTCACAGAAATATTCAGGGATATAGACTATTGTTATCCCCAGCTTAAAGACTGGAAAATTTATACCATTACTGCATTTCAAACCTAGGTTTTCAGACTTTCAAGTTTATACTTTTGATACTATAGAATTCCACAACTTTTCATTATATATCACCAAAGATACTGTCTTATTATAAATAATTAGTGTGTCTGTTGTTAAGTGCCATCTATACTGACTATGGAGTCCTGGTGTGTCACTGTAGGATAAGCACTCCACCTCAAGGTTGGTTTGAACCTCAAGGCCAGTGGTTCAAACTCACTAGCTGCTCCTCAGAAACCGTATACAGGGTCACTATGAGTCAAAACTGACTTGATGGCACTTAATAACTTAGCGGATATAGTGACCCTGTTTAGGGTTTTCCAAGGAGCAGTTGGTAGTCTGAACCTCTGACCTTGTGATTAGCAGTCCAGTGCTTATCCTTTCTTGCAGCATAACACCAGGACTCCTTATAAACATTGTTGTTGTTGTTGTTAAATGCCAGTGCCGTTGAGTCAATTCTGACTCATAGCAACCCTCTAGGGCCATAACAGGAGTCTCTTATAATAATGGACACTAAAAAATATTTATGAATTCATGACTAAGGCATTGTTTTCATTATTTTGAATATGTTGCAAATTGATAAACTGACAAAAATTAGGAAATAGTCTATGCAAAATTAATCATTTTTTGGCTCATAGATTTCAATTCAAGTGATTTCTCCAATATATGAAAACAATGTATCACAGAACCAAAATTTAATTCAGCATCACCATTCTATTTTATTTACATATGATGTCACAGACTGGTGAGTAGAAAGCCAGGCTGTGCTTGAGCACTTATGATAAATGACTTTTTGTGGAAGTTGGTTTAGAGCCCAGAACTGTTCAATCTTTTTCACCCATAGTCTGGATAATAGAAGAGGAAAAATATTCATTAAGTTTGCATTTGACAGAAAGCAAGGAAAGCAAAAAGGAAAAGGACCCAGTAACTTAATTAGTGGATCTGGGATTCAATAAGGTTTTAGCATAATAGACAAGCATTAAGTAGCAAATAATAGAATCTGGTAGAACTGATTATGAAGAAAAATATTGCAACTCTAAGATAGTAAATAGAGGGCTAATATGATGCCTGGTTTATTAATATGCTTGTCAATATTCATTTAAGTTATGCTGTCTTCTTCTTTTGAGTACACTGACTTTTATGTTAGTATTAAGTTTTAATAGTTTTATTCTTATCTTTCCAGATTACTCAAAGACTATCCTGGTTTTGTGTTTACCCCTCGCTCAAGGGAGGAGCTTCCTCAAAACTTCCCCATTGAAATTCCTGGAATCTGTCATTTTCTTGATGCGTATCTACAAGGAACAAATTCAAAACCATGGTTCCAAAAGAGAGATGTTGAGGATGGCAATGCTAACTTTTTAGGCAAAGCATCAGGAATAGATTAATGAAATGTATACCTGATAGTAAGTCCTGGGCGTTTGACTCTTTTGAGGATGTCTGGAAACTTGGAAAGCACTTTGACATTGCAGATGGCTAAAAAGCAGTACCAAATGATCGAGAACTTAAGTCATGATCTATGTTTTCTCCCACTTTAATATGACAAAAAAATGTATTCACTCAGTATTTTATCTCTGCTGTTAAAAACAACAAAAATGTCTCAACAATTTACTCTTTGAGGCAAATTCTGTTATATAACAATCACTACCTGTACTCAGAATTGAACACGCTGTACATATATCTGGTCATTGTAGTGAACTATAAGAAGTAATGGAGTTGCTTGCAGTCTTGTGCCCTGGTGGAATGCCATGGTTACTAAAATATGCTTGTGATAGTGTTGCCTTAAAAAAGCTTTTTGAATAGAAAATATAGTCTTTAATACAGTCATTTATTTCAGCTCTGCATTTTATTATTATGTTTTGTCATTATATCTGTTAGCATTTACAGCAAAGTAGACTGATATGTTATTATCTTTTCTTTTTTTCTTTTAGAAAATAAGCAGTTATGAGTCAGATTCAGTATAAATATGAAATAGATCTTCTGTAAATATCAATGATTATTTTTAGTTCTTAAAGTTACAAAGATTTTCCATAACATAATATGTATGACAATAAATATTTCTTTCACTTGATATTCATTATCTTTTCAAATTTTACACATGGTAAAAGCTGTTTTAGGAGCCCTGGTCAAACAGTCATTAAGTGCACAAATGATTATTCCAAAGGTCAGCAGTTCAAATTCACCAGCTGCTCCATGGAAGAAAATGCAATAGTCTGCTTTCATAAAGATTTGCAGCCTTAGAAATCCTACAGGGCAGTTCTACTCTATCTTACATGGTATTATTAGTTGGAATAGGACAAAGAATACACACCCATACATAATTTCTTACCTTCAAACTTCCAGTTACAAATTCTAACCAGTAATTTGAAATGTAGTTTAATGACCACTATATATTTCTTTCCTTTTAATGTTATGACATTCACTTTATTTTAATAGAATAATGTATTTTAGGATACAATTTTCTAAATTTGATTTACTTTTACTGAAATGAGGAAAATTAACAGATTAGATTAGATATTTATAGTTTCAGGTTAGTGGATTAGTGTTAGAGATTTATGTCGTTGACCCAGAGATCAGTAGGAACATAAATAGCTTGCTGCCCAGAGCATGTAGGTAAATTGTCCTATAAACTCCTAATTATAGGAGATGTCTGAGAACAAAATTATAGAAAATCAGGACTTAAATTCTATAATGGAAAAGGATAAGAGACTAAATGGAAATAGAAGAGGTGCCACAGAAAATAAGAAATTATTTGGTTTGGGTTTGGAAAGACTATTTTAATTCATACTAGCAATTTAATTCATAATAATTCATTTTAATGATAGGAACAAATTATTGAGGTTAAAAGAGAAGTATGGCTTATTTTAAGGAGCTCTGATGTAAGGTTTGATTTAAGGTGCCGTACTTGAAGAGTTTGGCTGCTAACACAAAGGTCAGCGGTTGAAATTCACCAGCTTCTCCTCAGGAGAAAGATGTGGAAATCAGCTTCTGTATAGATTTATAGCCTTGAAAACACTGTAAGACACTTTTACTCTGTTCTATAGGATCTCTATGAGTCAGAATTGACTTGATGGCAATTAATTTTTCATTAAAGAGTCCTGCGCTGTAGGATAATCACTGGATTACTAACTGCATGGTCAGCAGTTCAAACCCACCATCTGCTCCACAGGAAAAAAAAAAATGAGGCTTTCTGTTCCTGTAAAGGTTTACAGCCTCAGAAACCTATACAGGATCACAATGAGTGAAAGTCTCGATGGCAATGGGCTTTTGGTTGTATAACCTATGTTAAAATGCAATACAACAGATCAACTTAACTGGCATGACTAGGTTCCGAAGACAAGATTGTTAGGTGAAAATCAGCATTATGCAAAAGTGGAGGATGGCCACATCAGATTACAAAATGGGGATGAAAACATAATTGTAGAACTGCCAAATCACATCATTAGATAACTGCCAATATGCATCATTACTTAATTATCAAATTACATCAAAACTGTGGTTACATAACTGTCAAACCACTGAGAGTCATGCTCCAGCCAAATTGATAGATAGCTTTAACCATTGTGGCCAGCGTTAACTTTGCCTTACACCTTGGTTTTGTTACTGCCGATGAATGTCATTAGCGCAGAAAAGAGTCAGAATGCAGGTTTTTACTATTGTCATAAATTTGAAGTGTCAAATAATGAGAGTTTATAAATTAACAGTAGAAGTGATATCTTTCTAATTTAATTTAACCAGAAGCATCCAGCAACCTATCATAAAGTACATAGTAAAACATTCACAAGCACAATTTTCTAGGGCTGGTACAACAAAATGCTAAAAAATTAGTGGCTCTAACGAAGGAGAAATGTATTGTCCTACAGTTCTGAAGGCAACAAGACTGTATGCTGGGCCTCAGCAGGGCCACCCATGCCCTCTCTGGTTTACAGGCAAAGACACTATCTGTCTCTTCCAGTCCCTTTAATCCCCAGGCAGTTCCTGGAGTTCCTTGGTTTGTAGGTGCATCTTCACTTGATATTTTCTAAATGTGAATTCTGCTTCTGTGTCTGTTCTCTCCTTTTACAAGATACCACTCAGAAGACATCATTTCCATCCTACTCTGGCATGATTTCTTTAACTGATAACATTTTCAAAGAAAAATCCATTTCCAAACAAGATCACATTCACAGTACAAGAATTAAGACTTCAATATCTGTTTTTCTAGACATACTTCAATCCATAGCACCCAGTCTTCAGTAATTTGGAACTACTTCTGTAGAAAGCCTCCATTGTCTTGCTAAGCCACACAAAGTTCCAATAAGAAAATCTAGGCTAACAAAATCTAAGATCTTCTGCTAATACCCTTTTTTACATATTTGTGCTGAATTCTTCAGTGTGTGTTTATATTAAAAATCATCCCATTTTGGTGGAATTGAGAAACACATCTGTGAATTTTTGTTCTAGTCAAAATATCTCAGGCTTTTTTGAGTGATTGCTAATATTGACGAAGAAGAGGCTATGGTAATATCATTATGGAAATTTCTAAGTACTTTTCTGACAATTGAATTTTTACTTTTAATGCTGTCAGTCTTAATTTCGGTGGCAAACTAAATCCTACAGAGTTTTGTTTGTGATAAAGATGAAATTTTTTAAAAAGCTTAACTTCAGAGCAAGGATAAGTTGACCAGTATAGTTTTAAAATCAGTATCAGCAGAATTATAGATACACAAAATTCTTATTTAGAGTTCTGAAAAATCACTGTTTAAAGGTTCTTTAGCTGTCTCTACTAATCTCCAAACTAGCTCATGGTGAGCCCAGGAATAGAACATTAGTTTTGATTGGCATCCTATATTCCAAATGTGGTGGTTGGTGGGTGGAGTGTTAAGTCATTTCTAACTCATAGTGACCACACGTAACAGAGGAGAGCTGCCCCGTGGAGGTTTTTAGATTGTAATCTCAGTGGGAGCAGATCACGAGGTCTTTCTCACACAGAGTCAACATTTTGATTAGAAGCTGAGTGCTTACCTGTTGTACCACTAGAGCTCTTTATTCCTTATATTTCATGGAGTACTATATACTAAATGTTACCCCAATGTCCTGAAAAAAGTGAATTTGTTTCATTAAATATACTATTGTTGGGGAGCATCGCAGATCTTGAGAAAACAATGTCACAATTATATGATATTAATAAAAGTACTTACAAAGAAAATGAAGATGTATATGTATTTTCTTTCTGCCACTGAATTCTTACAGAGAAAAATAATAGAAATTAAAGAAAATGAAATAGCATAAATACAATGTCATCTTTGACAAATATTGAAGCAGACCCTAATTTGAAATTAATCTGTGTTTTAAAAGTATTGTGTGTGTGCGTGTGTGTGTGTGTGCAACTGGAGTAAAATGTAAATACATCAAGTAATATGGAAGTTCCTTGTAGTATTTCTGCAATTTTTCTAAAATTTTGAGATTTTATCTATGAACTCATCTGTGATATCTTCCCCAGTCCAGCCTGTGAAAGTTCATTAATTATGGAATTACTTCTATGGCGCCAAGGAACCCTGGTAACACAGTGGTTATGAGTTGGGCTGCTAACTTCAAGGTCAGCCATTCGAAACTACCACTCACTCCACAGTACAAACCTGAGGCTTTGTCCTCCCATAAAGATTTACAGCCTCGGGAACCCTGTACAGGGTCTCTATGAGTCTGAACCAACCCCAAGGCACACCACCTACCAACCAACCAACCTGTGGAGCCTAAGCAATATAAGCATATGCCATTTCCTTGATACATACAACCAAAGTTCACAAATTGAATGCTAAAAATAATAAGGGATTCCTTTTCTCATTGCTTTCTGAGGGCAGAGGCTATAAAGACACTTTAAGATCCTGACAACTGATGGTATCAAGGGAAGAGATCCTAGAGGATAAATTCTCAAAGGAAGTAAAAGATCAAACTGAGAGCTCTGAATTTAGGAGAATTGAGGATGGAAAAAAGAATAAACAGAGATGGAGACTTAGGATACTGAGTCTTCTTACCAGTTTAACTACCCCAAAAAAATAATAGGGAGCATGCTCCCAGCTGCTGATCAGCTTGTTTCTCCTGAGAATCCCTTCTGTTAAGATTTTATTGTTTATGTGTATGGCTCCTTGTTTCTTTGATTCGATGCATAAATTAACTTAGCTATTCAAACATGTTTATCAAGAAAGTGCAGAGTTATATTAAAGTTACCTAAATAGTTTTGTGTCAAGAAGCAAAGGAAAATGTAAAATTAAATGTTTCCTCCCATTTTACCTTACCATCTCTATTCCCATGTAGATCTCATAAGAAAATACATAGTGTGACTCTAAACACTATTAGATTAATTTATCCCTTTCATTTATTCATCCATCAAGCATTGGTACTGTAGGAACAGCTCTGGGCTGCGAACCATAAAGTCTGCAGTTCAAATCCACCGGCTACTCCTTGGAAACCCTATGAGTCAGAACAGACTTAATGGCACTTAACAACAACAACTATGTACCTTGGGCAATGTTTTGAAATTCAAAGATAAACTATGACTCATTCTGTCTAGAAAAAAAAAAAAATGAATATGTAAGGTGAACAATTGCAAGGTTTCTGTAAGTGGGAACACAAAATTGGGAATTCAGTGCTTGGAGAAGTCTTTTAGATGCAAGGAGTTCATTAAGTAAAATGGGAAGGATATGGTCCCTACAAGTGAAGTAGAACACACTAAGAAATGGGGTCTTGGAAGCGCATAGTATATTCCGATTTGTCAGTTGCTAGAGATTAGTTGGGAGTG